TGGTTTTTGTGACAAAAACTTGACTTTGTATGCACCTTTAACAGAATAAAATTTTTACATTTTGAACAAAAAATATGTTTTTTTCTGAGGATTCTGATGCTGCACACATCGGCACCGGTGGCCTGGTCTATGCCCCGCCTTCGTTGTCAAGGGCCGTTGGCATGGGTAAACTCGGTGGGCGGACCTCAGCAGCATCAGCCGGACTCGAGAAACAATAGAACAGGGATGCGTCATACCCCCTTTGTCATAAACAGCGATCGGCAAAGCAGTGCCTATTGTTCCGCTTAAGCTGTTTTGATAGTCGCTCTTGATTGTGATCAGCGCTAAGATGATTCTTTTCCGACCGATTTGCTCGAAATACGCGTTCTCCTTTGAATTGCTTGTTGTTACACGCGCTCTTTCAATTTACTTGTTAACTTTTTGAGATACGCAAAAAAAAAGAAGAAAATTCCGTTGCTTGCTACCCGTGACAGCAACCGTCATACTATCCATCCATTTTCGACAACAGCTCGATGCAGTTGTTAGATTTAAAAAATCTACATGGGCGTAACTAGGCATACACACGGATGCACTGTGTGTACAATTTTTTGGCCAACCATGATATTATTTTATATAAATTTAGTGTATTTTTCACCGAATATAAAAGAAAATCCTCTGCTTATTAAAGTCACCTGTATGTACAAATCCTCTGTATCAATTGTATAGGCAAAATTGTTCTGACCCCCCCCCCCTCCCCCCCGTCTTGCAAACTGAGGTATACAATGTCTGTAACCTTAACAAGTTCTATCTTAATCGTCCATCTAACTGGAACTTCCTTTACCTCTTCAGTGGCCCTCAACTCTTATGAACCTTCTTTCTTGAGAATATTGAACGCATAATTGCTGGCGATATTTATCTCAGGCAAAAATCTGCCTGACTCCTGAGTGTTATTTTCAAAGAGCAGCTCCCGCAACCCTGGGGGCACTAGATAAAATCTGAACACCAGGTTTAAGAAGGAGCTAGAGAAACCAAGGAAGAATTTTTCCTGCAAAGCTTCAAAGAATTTTGACACGGACTTGACCCAGCTAACCCCTCCAAACTAACAGGGTGACATGGGGAATTTTTACTAACAAATAAGTAAACTTAGATGTACGTATCAGAGCTCTGTCGTGTCGTACAATTGGTTGTCTTTGGGAGCCATGCATCCACATGTAAGGTGAATGAATCCGTATGTTAGTTCAACTCAGAGGTGGATCCAGGATTATTCGAAGGGGGTTCCACATATGCGAAGCTAGCCTCCTTTTAAATAAATTTACTGTTCTGGGTAATATACCGACCGGATCGCCTTGTGGTTAGAGTGTCCGCCTCCGGAGCGGGAGGACGTGGGTTCAAATCCCGTCCGGGGACATACCAGGTACCTGCTGTCTCCCCGCTTGGCACTCAGCACTAAGGGGTTGAAGCAGGGACCTGGTCAGGCAGTGCAGAAATGTTATATTAGCTATGAGCGCCTAATATGGCAGCCGAGCTGTATGCTCCCCAGGGAGGTGAGACCATCTAAGGAGTGCACCAGTGCAAAAATGACCAGGCTTCCTTGACTTAAATATTCATATATATATGTAATTGTACAACTTCAACCTTCGGGTTGCCATTCTCCAATAAAGATTATTATTAATAAGAATATTGAAACTTTTTTAATTGCGAGAATATTTCTGACTAAATGATGATTTTATTATTAATGGAAATTAAGCTGCGATGTGTGGTACATATGCTTAATTACGCTGTCCTTCATCTCTTGCGTTAGTCTACATTTTGCTGGGAATTTTAAAAATCTGTGCATACAATTTTAAAGGTCTGGTTACGCCCCTGAATCTATGCAACTTGGGCAATTTGATCCGATCGGCGTCCTGTAACACGACCGTGTTTTCGAAACATTTTTCGCTTGGCGAATGTGGACCAGACCGCCTGCGATGCTACTATTGTGTGCACATCCTAGAGCGCATCCCTAACACTTGCCCCGACGGCAATTGACGTGGCCACTGATTGCTTGAGTCATTAGGGCTTACTTGACTGCCTGTCAATCATTCTGGCAGTGCTAGCGGTAACCCCCTGAAGTTACTAACAGGAGGTGAGATTGATACAAAAATAAGATTTTCTGACATCCAAATGCATGCAAACAAGCTACTTTCAACCGGCAATAGAGTACTCATCTTCGCGATCGTCAGAACAATAACAGGTAAAGCTGCCAACAATTTAATTTGTTAATTTGGACAATTAACCCCCCTGAAAGGGTTTTTGCTCATTTTCTTTGCTTTCAATATTGACGAGATAGCGTTATCTTAGCAAGCTATAACTGTCTACCTGTACACCTGAGGGAGACCAAATTCACCATGCTAATTATGAAAAGTATGCACTAAAAGTGCTTTTTAAGAAATTTTGATTGATCCTCTCTTTTCTAATTCATAGACTTTGAAAGTGAAAATTCCCTAATATTTTGATGTAATTTCACGTTTTTATAGATAAAATCAACAATAAGTGTCTGAAGAAAAATCCCTGACTCCATGCTGTAGTACTTTGTTCAAGTGTTATAATGCCATCAAAAGCAAGTTTATAGCTGTCCAGGTGCCTGAGAAAATCAGGTATACAAAAATGGTGTTTTTGTCCCAAAAATCCCAATATTAGGTCACACGATGAAGTTGGAGCTGTGTTCCAAGCATTATTAGATATTTTGAAGATACATTAAATGAATGTGACAGGAATAAAAAAGCCAAGACCTTTATTTTAAGAGAAAATCTCAAACCTACATTCCCCCCTTAAGTCAAGTGTAAAGAAGAAATACAAACACAATGCCTTCTTCAATAACACTTTCATAATTTTACACAAGCAAACAAAAATGCTTCAAAAAATTTTTATTATTTTCTTTTAAGACTTTATGTTATAGATATTTTTCCATACACAGAAGAAGATAAGCACACTATATGCACTATCAATATCATACTTACATTTTCACGAAGCATTACAGATTCACAGATTGGACAAGGGACACATGCTTTGGGGCATTCAGAAGGATGGGTGCTCTGAAATATTTAACATAGGTTAATGTAGGATCATTCATGGGATAGACCTTTGTCCATTAGCTTATTGTGTGTGTTGATTCAACAAAGTGAAACTCATAAATCAATGCCCGTGTGTAAGTGAGAGAGAGTGCTAGCATGTGTTTTTCCACAAATTTCTTTTCTTAAAAATTTTTTTGGGCAACAAAAGGCATTTACAGCTCAAGCCTGTGGGATTATCACACTAGTAAATAAATATTATTCTATTTTCAAGAACCTTCATTGTTGAAACATAATATGATTTAGAATTGACATGGATCCAACATGATAACTATGCTGGACAGTAGGTCACATATATAATAAAGACTTGAGGCCCAATTTTACAATATCATATCATCACAACACTGTTTCAGTGACAAACCATCACAAGGAAATCACGTTACCTGCAGTTGCCTCAGAGTCACCATCAATCCACAAGACTGACAATGATCTTTTTTGTTAGGACAGCTCCCTTGTGGATGGGAGCCCTTGCACTGGGGATGTTCACAGGGTTTATGTGGACACGCCTTCTCGTGTTGCTGTAATATGCCATGCAGAAATTATTTTATTACAAAAATACATTTACTTTGTATAATAACCCCCATCCATTTTGTCAGAAGCATGGAGATTTTGAGAGACTTGGAAATACTCAAAATTTCTTAAAATTTGTGAAAAAATCAAGAGATATCAGGGGTTATTGTCCAACTATCTCGAAAGTAAAATGACTTCAGAAAGGCATAATGAATTACAATCACACTTATTTCTATTTAATATAAGTGCTTTTGTGTAGAAAGATATGGACCATCATCATGTGTCTAGTAATGCACAGCACAGACAAAAAATAAATATTGAAACTGATTTATTTTCACAGCATTACCTGCAATACACCAAACTTTCCACTCCACTGACAGTTGCTATGAGGACATGTAACCTCTAACTCTGCCATATCTCGGATTAGCGCAACATCAGAAAATACCTGTAAAATAAAATAAAAAATATTTCAAATGTCATTTAATTTTTGCACTTCCCCTAAAAATATTCCAACAAGGCAGCAAAGCTGTCAAATGTACAGACAAAAGACAGGAAATAACTATGCACAAAGTAGGCTACTGTCAATTCTGATGCAAAAGTACATTATGTTAAACTGCAAATTCAACATCAAATTTTAATTATGCTCAACAGGTAATACCAATGTAAGTAAAATGTGTAACAAGTTCACACTTTGAAAATGTATAACTTCCAGAAAAAAAAGCCAATTAGACTGCTTTTCCAACTCATAAGTAACATGGCAATCATAAGTAACATGGTTTTCCCATAATGGTCATCATGGCAGCAGCACCCAAAATTGCGTTTTCTTCTATTCTGATGCCATATTACATAATGGTTAACAGCATAATGACCGTCAATTTTTAATAATAAAATATATGTATCATGGATTTTCAGAAAATGTGACTAGCATGGGTCTTCAAGCCCGTGGAAGCCCTTGAAAATGCCGATATGTGAAAAATTTTTCACAAAAAAAAAATGTTTAACTGGCAGTAAGAATTACCAAACAGACTGCATTGCCTACTGAAGCTGTATTTTAGTCCCATGTTTCTTTCCTGTAAGTTTGAGAACAGTAAGTGACATGGTTTTTCTTAAATGGTCATCATGGGAGCAGTG